CCTCTCCTTCTCTATGGTTTAATTAGGTTTCTTCTCTTTACAAACCTTTCGTATTTATAATAATAATCTTATTATGTTTCATTACCTTATTTTAACTTCTTGTTTGGTTTGTAAACAGCACAGTTTTTTTTAGTGTATAGCGTAACAATTACGATTTTTTGCTTTTAATTGAGCAGATTTTTCCGTGTATTTGAATTGATACGTCAAAGATAACTAAATCAACAAACTTTATTTCTTTAACTTCCTAGTTAACCAACCCAGCTAGGTTCCAGCTGGGATTGACTGGGATTGAGCTGGGATTACTGGGATTGGTTTCTGGCTAGAATTTGTTCTGGATGCCAGATGGGGCTTCTGTAAATGGTTTACGGCTGGTTTTAAGATAGGACGCGAAGTTTGATGATAGCGTGTATTTCTAATTAAAGCAGTTTTTTTGGCATTGTTTTTAGTAAGAAGTTTTGTTGAAATAAAATTACAAAACTACAATGTAAAACTTTTTAAAAAAAGTTTATATAGTTAGTTTGCTTACAGTAATGGCTTAGTGTGTTTAATTTTAATGTTTTTTTCAAACAAATCTCATAGACTTTTTTGAATACATTTGAGTTTGATAAGTTATGTAAAATGGCTTTGAAAAATTTTATTTACAAAACATAACAAAGTTTTAATATGTAGCACTACAGTACGTAAACTTTACATGTTATTTATTTTCACATAAATCATTTAATAAATGGTTTATGTATTTATAAATAATATGCAAATTTTACATATTTATGAAAAAAAATAAAATCATACATTTATTAAATGTAAGATTTTACATATTTTATAAGAAATATAGTTAATATATTTCTCATAGTATAAGTAATATATTATTAAATATATAAGTTATAGAAAGTGTTAAATCTTACATTTATATTATGCATTTAAAATATATATATATATATATATATATATATATATATATATATATATATATATATATATATATATATATATATATATATATATATATATATATATATATATATATATATATATATATACATATATATATATATATATATATACATATATATATATATATATATATATATATATATATATATATATATATATATATATATATATATATATATATATATATATATATATATATATATATATATATATATTTATATAATAATACTGAACTTAATAGTAGTAGTACCTTTTCGAGCACGTTTGACATAAAACCCAACGCAGCCATTGCAATTGAGGTACTGGCGAGGAAGAGTCGCAGCACCTTTTTATAAGAAAACATTAACGAAAGTGTGTGCTAATAACTAACTTACGTAAACTTCAAAATGCGAAATGTCAAAACATATTAAAACATGTATCAAGTTTTTAAGTTTTACTTTCACTTGAAAACTGCATTACGGCAACATCACCTTAAATTTTGACCGATAGCTGTTTTATAAAGTTTTTCGTTAAGTATATATTTTTAAAAATTTCACTAATAGTAGCTTCGTGGTCAGCTTGCTGAGCCACTAATCAGGGGAGCCGAGGTTCAACTCCCGTGCCTGGAACTCTTTTTTTTAATCTTTTTCGATTTTTTTAAAATACAAAACTAATCACTTTTGAAGATGTATAGAGATTATATACTTAACAAATGTAAAAGTATTTTACACTTAAACAAACGAAAGGAAGAGAATTTTTAAAGAAAGCTTAAAAGTTCTAAAAACGTCAAAAAACAGGAGAAATTTTTTGCGCTTATTTGTCATGTTATTTTAGTTTTACATTTATAGTTTTCTCCAACTAAGTTGAGATTATGCAAGAAAAATGGGTATATAACATGTATATATAGAATATAAAATATATAAAACTATAAAGTGCATTTAAAAAAAAAAAGCAAGCTGATGAACTTGCCACGCGGCGACCTAAAATTTTTTTAAAACAGTAAGGGGGTTTTAAAAGTATATTTTTATTAAAAGAATAACTCAAAATTTTAAGTTTAGATTTAAAATAAATTATTTTATTAAATTTATTATTTTTTAAAATGAAAAAAAAGTTGAAACTATCTGATATCAAAGTAATAAAAAATATTTAGAGTTTTACAGATACTTTACTACGCCCCAGTTAAATATTCTAAACCGAGTGCGCAACAATGACAGAATTAAGAAAACCATCAAAATAGTATGATACTCCGTATAATATTGGAAGAGTCAACTCGAACGCTTATAGCTGATCTGAACTGAACTGCACGAGGCATTGTAAAATGTTCACACAAGATTTTTGTATTTCTTGAAATGACATATTATCTTCTATTATTATTGTCATAAATGATATAGTTATTGTTGTCATAAATTGTTGTCATAAATAGTATAATTATTGAATATACTTATATAAATAGTATGTATTTTTTAATCTGTTTTTAAAATTACTGAACTTTAAATTTCTAATGTTTTACATAATGAAACATTCTGTTTTATAGGTGTTGCATTGATTTTTGACAGGCTGAAAATTTTATACAAGCTAAAGACGACCATTTTTTAAATATAAGTAACTTTTTTTTTTGTTTTTTTTTTATTGGTTTTGAATAATTTTATGTAAAATATTTAATTGTGTTTTATATGAATTTAAGTATTTAGTAAAGTGTTATTTTGTGTATGTGTTAAGTGTTACAAAATATTGTTAGTTAATTAAAATTAAATAACAATATTTTGTTTGGTATTTTAATTTTAGTGCCACAGGTTATAACATATTGTAGGTTTTAATTTCTAATTTTTCTTCATCTTTAAAACTGATTAAGAAAAACATTAATTTTTGCTAATGTGATTGTGTTATTCTATTTATTAGATATTTTACTAATAATTTGCTAATGTGATTGTGTTATTCTATCTATTAGATATTTTACTAATAATTTGATTGCTCTAAATTATATTTACTTTTTCGATATTTATTTTAGCCAATTAAGTTGTAACAATCTCTGCGAGATTAAAATTAGGTTTTATAATTAAGTATGAAATTAAAATATCGTTTAGCAATTTCAATAAGAATAAGGATGTGGGCTCTTATCTCAATTGATAAGGGTCCACCCTTATCAATTGAGATAAGAGCCCACATCCTATAGTGTACATAGAGTGTGGGCCCAGAACAAGAAAAAAAGGTTTCCCCTTATTAAAGAGGAAGAGAATACTCTTATCTAAAGTTGTTGAAAAGATGTACATCCTGTTTCTACACTAAACACCATCAATATTTTAGTCAGCAGAACATGCAAAATATTAAAATAATTTGCTGCTGTGGCCGTGTTTATGATTCTCTGTGTCAGAATAATACTTTATTTTCAGTTTAGATTTTGTGAATACTTTAAATTGCAGTTAATAATTATTATTATAATAATCAACAATAATCACTGATTTAGGGGGTATCTAATAAGTACTTACAATAAATTTGTGAAAGAACTTCAAAATTGCTTTTTCACTCTGTATGTTTTTAATCGATAAGTCTATTTGTTCATTGATGTGTCCTTATCTGTTATTTTTTTTAATAAGAGGTTCTTATTTTTAATAAAAAGAAATATTCTTTTATTGTTGTTGTTTGTTTGTTTGTTTTTATAATTTAACCTTTTCTCATGATGGTAGAGTTATTTTTCATGTTTAACTGCATTTTAATTTAGTTGAATTTTATTTTTTTCTTTAGTTTTACTTTAGTGCTCTACCAACAATCATAAATTTACTTTATCTACAATAAAATATGGTTTTAACTTAAAGTAAACTTTTGTCATTTAAACTTTACTATGTTGATCATTACCTAATAGTGTAAAAAAAAATTAGTACGTTGCAATCAAGGTTAGAATAATTTTTTTTTCTATTCTGTTGCTGTTTGTTTTCTGCAAACATTAAACACTTTTTAGTTTTCAGGTTTTTTAGTTTTTCTATACATTGCAAATTAGTTTCTATGTTATTGTTAATTTCTATGTTATTGTTAATTAAAATTTCTTTATTCTATTTAGAAACATTAGAAAAATCAAGTGTTAAGCTAAGTGCCATTATAATACATTTCTGTTTTATTATGTCAGTTAAAAAATTTTTTTTTTTTTTTAATTTTTTTTTTTTTGCTTTCACAAGATCAGTGTCAAGTAATGTGTTTTGCATACTTATGTATTTTTTGGGTGTTCTGTGTATTAAAACTGAAACATATCATCTTTATATAATAATACGGAACTCAATAGTAGTAGTTCCCTTTCGAGCACGTTTGACATAAAACCCAACGCAGCCATTGCAACCGAGGTACTGGCGAGGAAGAGTCGCAGCACCTTTTTGTAAGAAAACATTAACGAAAGTGTGTGCTAATAAATAACTTACGTAAACTTCAAAATGCGAAATGTCAAAACATACTAAAACATCTATCAAGTTTTTAAGTTTTACTTTCACTTAAAAACTGCATTGCGGCAACATCTTAATTTTGATCGATGGCCGTTTTATAAAGACTTTTATTTACTACATATTTTTAAAATTTGTTCAATCGTTCATAGCGGCATAGCTTAGTGGTCAGCTCGCTGGCAGCTGACCTGAAGAGCCATGGTTCGAATCCTACCTTTTTATTCTTTTTAAATTCATTTTCGATTTTTCTAAAGTACGAAATAAAGATTATGTATAGAGATTATATACTTAACAAATGTAAAAATATTTTACACTTAAACAAACGAAAGGAAGAGAATTTTTAAAGAAAGCTTAAAAGTTCTAAAAACATCAAAAAACAGGAGAAATTTGTTGCGCTTAATTGTCATGTTATTTTAGTTTTACATTTACATTTCTCCAACTAAGTTGAGTTCGCGCAAGGAAAATGAGTATATAACATGTGTATATATAGAATATAAAATCTATAAAGTGCATTTTACAAAAAAAGCAAGCTGATGATTTGAACTTGCCACGCGGCGACCTGAATATTTAAAACAGTAAGGGGGTTTTAAAAATGTATTTTTATTAAAAAATATTTAAAATTTTTAAATTTATGATAAATTATCTTATGAAATTTATTATTTTTTAAAATGAAAAAAAAGTTAAAACTATCGATATTTAGGTAATAAAAATATTTAGAGTTTTACAGCTAATTTACAACGCCCCTGTTAAATATTCTATACCGAGTGCGCAACAACGACAGAATTTAGAAAACCATCAAAATAGTATGATTCTCCGTATGTGATTGGAAGAGTCAACTTGAACACTTTAAACTGATCTGAACAAACTGCACGAGGCATTGCAAATGTTTACTCGGTAAGATTTTTGTATTTCTTGAAATGACATTGTATCTTCTATTATTGTTGTCATAAATGATATAATTATTGAATATACTTAAAAAAATAGCATGTATTTTTGCATCTGTTTTTAAAATTACGGAACTTTAAATTTCTAATGTTTTACTTAATGAAACATTCTGTTTTATAGGTGTTGTATTGATTCTTGACTGGCTGTTAATTTTATACAAGCTAAAGACGACCTTATTTTGAATATAAGTAAGTTTTTTTTTTATAATTAGTTTTATGTAATTTTATGTAAAATATTCAATCGTGTTTTATATGTATCTAAGTATTTAGTAAAGGAATATTTGCCAGTGTGACCGAGCGGACGACATTCTGAAATATCTATCGAGGTTTGAGTCCAATCGTTAGAACCTTCTTTTTTTTTTAAATTTTTTATTGTTTTTTTTTAAAATTCAAAAAATGGAACACAATAAAAAGAGAACTATGAAATTGTTTTGTTTTGCTTTTTAAAAATTAAAGCTTTCCGCGACAAACTTTTTTGAACACAGTCAGGGGGATAAAATAAGTTGTTTCTATTAAGAATATGAGTAAAAAATTTATTTTATATTTAAAATAAATCATTTTTTCCAACTTGGTTATTTTTAAAAATGATATAAAGTTAAAATAACCTAATCTTAAGATAATAAAAAAGTTTAAAGTTTCATATCTGCCCCCCTTAAACATTTTAAACCAAGTGCTCAACAATGACAATTCAGATAACTATCGAAATAGTATTATACTGTGTTTATAGTTTTGAAAGAGTCAACTCAGACCGCTATTAACTGGTTATGCACAAGGCATTTTAGATTTGCAAGCGGTAAGTTTTGTATTTCTTGAGATATCTTAGATTCTATTATCATTATCATATAAATGATATAATTGTTAAGTAAGCTTTAGTCTGTTGCCATCAAGGTAAAAATAATTTTGTGTTTCAGTCAAATTACAAAATTTGTTTGCACTTATAGCTTTTATGTTTCGTTATTTTGTTTAATTGACTTTTTCATTAATTTTGTTATTAATTCCTTTTAATTTCAAATTTTGCCCGTTTTTAAAAATGCTATATAAAAATAGCAGCAGGCAAATTGATTTGTAGTATTATTATATAAAGATTATTATATAAAGATGTTTTTAATTCTATCATATGATAATTTTTCATCGTAGATATATCTTACGATGCTTTTTCAGCATATTGCAGTTTGCGAGGCACATAAGTTGTGGGCCCGAATTTAGAGCAAAAGCTCGCTCTCCTCCGCCATTTTTTTTTTCTTTTTCTTTCTTAATAAGGATCCTGTAAAAAATAAAATATGAGAAGGATCCTTAGTATGGATCCTGTAAAAAATAAAATATGAGAAGATAGCGGTGGGAAAATATTGCGCTTTATCTTTAATTAGTATTTTTGTAGTTAGTTAATAATGCAGATGTAGTTGAATTTTTTTTTGTAAATCAAACTTTTATATATTTTGTTTCGTTATCATGTATAAATAAATTGATTTACAGTGGTGTTATTATTTCTTTTTTGAAAAAAACTTATTAGTTTGTGACATAGAATTGACTTGGTCGTTAAGTAGAATGCCAAGAATATATATGACGGTTATTGTTGATAAGGGTGATTAATAGGCAAGTAAATTATAAACTAACTTTATATTGATTTTATTTGTAGACCTAATAAATAGGAAGATAACATAATTCAGGTAATTATTGTTTTCAGTTTTTCTCCCAATAGTTAATTAAACTTTGATATCTTATATTAAAAAAATATGACCATTCGAGTAATTATGACGGTAATGTATATATATCTAACATGTAAACTTCATGTTCTGTAATTAGTAATCAGTATTTTTATAAAGTAGATAATATAAATTTTTACAGATTTAACTTGAAAATTTAATATAAATTTTTACAGATTTAACTTGAAAATTTCATCTCCTTATTTTATAGCATTTCATCTCCTTATTTTATAATTTCATCTCCTTATTTTATAATTTCATCTCCTTATTTTATATGCCGTTTTATAAAGTTTAATAAGTCTTCTGTTTATGAAACAGTGTTAAAAGATAATACAGCATGCCAAAGTGGTTGAAATGCTTCGCTTGGGTTAAAATCCTTTCGCTTACACTCATAATTTTTTTGAATATTTTCCAAACTTCTAGAAAACAAAGTAAAACATTTTTAAAGGCCTATAGATGTTATATGCATTACATATATATAAAGATATTATATATTATAACAAACTAAAGGGAGAGAACTTTTTAAAACGCTGTGTAAAATTTCTAAAAACCTGAGAACACTGTTTGAAATTTGTTGCGCATATGTCATGGTAGAGATACTTTAGTTTTGGATAAATTAGTTTAGTCTGCGCATTTAAGAGACAACTTTTTCTCTAATAGAAAAAAAGTTTTACATGCAAACTGAAATTTTCTTGAAAATTAACTGGGCAAGAGTCCTAACAAGTACCGGATGGTATGAAAAAAAAATTATAGTCTGAAACTTAATAAAAAAAAACTTAACACAAACAGAAAACCCAAAAATGCTAAAATTACGTCATAATTTTAGTTCCGCCAAATCCGGTAATAGGAATGCTCAAATATAAAATAGAAATTTTAAATGATTTTTGTATTTCGATATATGCGCCAACTCTTAAACGACTGTAAAACTACCTTGCGGTTATCTAATTAAATCCACCAAATCCGATAATAAAAACAACTCAATTAATAGATTTAAAAATCATCTGATTTTTGCATTATGATATGTGCGCCAACTGTACTCTAAAACCACTAAAACTTGGCCATGCTTTCTCTCCTTATTCAAATCGATTATACAACAAGGGACTGCAAACTACAATACAGCAAAGAACTACAAGTAAGTTTCATCTCTATCATTTACAAGTTTACTTATTTTAATCATCCATTTAAAAAATTAATCTTAATTCGGAACTAATAAAGTTATTATGCTTTTGACACAAGAATAAGCATTAAGATTATTTTTTAGAAATGAGCAGCCAAAATACAGAAGGTTAAAGTATTCTTTTTATTTTATATAAAATTAATAAATTAAAGAGATAGAAAGAGATGATACGAAAATAATGTTGAAATATTTAGTTTATTATTTTATCAAGAGATTATATATAGATAAATTTGTATGTCTTTAGGCGACGAAGAAGTTTCAGAATTTTTTAGAAGTAAGCCACAATATAATTATACTATATACTACGTATAGTTGCAGTCATGGCTCCCCACAAAGGGAGGTGCAGTTGGTACTCTAGCACTAGGATCCGGAGATAAATGGGGTTCGGCTTTAAATCTTTAAAATTTTCAGTCTCATTAAGTTAAAAAATTAAATTGAAAAATTGACAATTTGATTTTTAACTTTTCAATAACATTTAAATATCTAAAAACCTAATCTTTTTTAAAAGCAAAAAACTTTAAATAAATACAAAAATGATTTAGATTGTGAAAGCAAAAGCGGTTTCTTAAATAAAAAACTTTATAAGTTTATTGTGGCCAAAGAAAAAAAAATTTTTTATTGTATGCAATGCAATAAGGGTATGTGTGTGTGTGTGTGGGTTGAGGGGGGGGAGGCCCGCAGAGAGCTCTAGCATGGGGCCCGGTTTCAAAATGTGGGGCCCATGGTTGCAGTTGCATGTGTTCTAAAATTTAATTAAATAAAAAATATTTAAAATAATTTTTGGACTTTACAAGGATGCACCCGAAATTTGGTTATTGTTTATTTCCCCTATTTTAGATTGATGTTTTTGTAAAACAGTGAACCTTGAAAACGTGTGTAAGCTTTATTTAACATGCTAGAATCTTAAATGCTAAGTTTCGGAGTAAAACGAAAATTTTCTTTAAATTCTGAGTTTCGGTTGCGTCGTGAAAATGTCAAACAATTAAGTTCGGACATTTTTAACAAAATAAAAAAATAAATAAATAAAAAAGTTTGTTGAATTGAATAAGTGAATGGTATATAATATATAAAGTATATAAATTTTGTAAATATATATTAGATGTTCAAGAGATAAGTGAAAAAGAATTATCCTCATGTAAGCTACATTTATATATATATATATATATATATATATATATATATATATATATATATATATATATATATATATATATATATATATATATATATATATATATATATATATATATATATATGTTTCTTAGTTATGTCAAATAAATTGAGAGCTGAAATAAGAAGAAATTTTCGGAATGAGAGAAATGAGGCTAGGCGAGAAGAACTTAATCGTCGCCAAAATGAAAGAAATGAGGCAAGGCGAGAAGAAATTAATCTTCGCCAAAATGAAAGAAATGAGGCAAGGCGAGAAGAAATTAATCTTCGCCAATATGAAAGAAATCAGGCTAGGCGAGAAGAAATTAATCGTCGCCAAAATAAAAGAAATCAGGCTAGGAGAGTATTACATAGACGTGGAATGCATTGCATAGCAAGAAATAATGTTTTTATAGTGAGTAATTACCTTGGAGAAATGAACCATATTTGTCAATATTGTGGTGCCAAAAAATTTTTAAATGAAACACATTTTCTGTGCTGCCATTCTGGAAAAGTTGCGTTAGCTCCACTTTCGCCTTATCCACTGCTCATGCACGATTCAATGAAGCCAAGTTGATTGTGCTATGAATCAAAATTTCTTCAAGCATATTCGAAGTTATAATGCCTGTTTATCTTTCGCTTCATTAACAGCAAGAATAGCTCCTCCGTCTGATCATGGGCCACCCTGTTTTAGGATTTGCGGACAAATTGTGCATCGTGTTGGTAATCTGAGACCTGATCAAAATGTTCTGCCTGCATATTGTCAGTTATATGTTTATGATCCTAATACTGCTTTAAATTTTCGAATGGAGCAAAATGATTGTTGCATACGTGAGTTGATGGAATTTTGGCAGAATATAATTAGTCAAGAGAACCCATTTGCTCTTGCATTTAAAAACATGGCTGAAATTGAAGATGAAGAAGTACGTCAAGCAGCTTTAGAAGGTCGACCAACTTCGATTGTTAAAATGTCATTGCTTGAAGGTGGTGATAGACGTCGATACAATTTTCCTTCACATGTGGAAGTTGCCATTGTTTTTATTGGGGATGATGGTGCTCCACCTCCATCTAGGGAAGTAGTTATATACCCTCGAGGTCAGGCCTTAAAAACAATTTTAAGTATGTCTGCAAATCTAGATCCAATGATGTATCCAATATTTTTTCCAAGAGGTGATGCTGGATGGCATGAGCAACTAGAGCATCATCCTGACCGAGCTACACGTGTTAGAAATCGGGTTACTTTGTCTCAGTACTACATTTACAGGCTTTCTGTTAGAGAAACCTTTAATCCTATATTTTATGCTAAGAAGCCTTTTCAACAGTATGCTGTTGATGCATATGTCAAGATTGAAGGTCAGCGCCTTGCTTTTATTAGAAATAACCAAAACAGACTTAAAAGTGAACAATATGATACATTATATGAACATGTAAATAACGCTGCAAATAACCTTAATGTAAGACCAGGTCGTGTTGTTATACTACCATCCTCATATGTTGAAAGTCCAAGAGCTTTAAAAGAAAATTTTAAAGATGCAATGGCAATTATAAAGAGATATGGCAAACCAGATCTTTTTATTACTTTTACCTGCAATCCAAAATGGAAAGAAATTACAGAAAATTTAAATCCAGGTGAGAGCCCATCTGACAGACCTGATTTAGTTTGCCGTGTATTTAAAATGAAACTTAAATGCTTCCTAGATGATATTTTTAAACACGGATTCTTAGGTAAAGTTATAAGTCATGTACAGGTTATTGAGTTTCAAAAACGTGGTTTGCCACATGTACATATTTTATTGCACTTTGTAAATGATGATAAGCTAGAAACAGCAGAGGATATTGATAGTCTAATATCAGCTGAAATTCGGGATCAAACTGTTGATCCTGAACTTTTTGAAATTATAAAAACATGTGTGATTCACGGACCATGTCGAAGTTTGAATCCCAATTCTTCTTGCATGAAAGATGGGATTTGCACAAAAAAGTTTCCTAAAGAATTTAATCCTCACACTGTTGCAACTTTCAATGGCTATCCTCACTACAGGCGTTTAGATAATGGTAGAGTAGTCGTTATAAAAGGTAACCAAGTTGATAATCGATGGGTTGTACCCTACAACCCTTGGTTATCTAAAAAATACCAAGCACATATTAATGTTGAAGCTTGCATGTCTATTAAGTCAGTTAAGTATTTATATAAATATGTCTATAAGGGGCATGATTGTGCTCATGTGTTAATTAATGAAAGTCTTGACCATGATGAAATTAACACATATTTAGATTGTCGCTTTGTTTCTGCACCAGAGGCTCTTTGGCGAATATTTGAGTATTCCATAAGTGATATGTCAGAAACTATTATCCGCCTTCAAGTCCACCTTCCTGATAATCATAGGGTATATTTTAACGAAGGAGAAGAACGAGTAGCTATAGATCCTAACCGCTTGGTTTAAATTAAATGCTGAGATAAATGAAGCACGTCAGTATTCTTATGTTGAAATTCCGTATCACTTTGTTTTTGATGGTAAAAATTGCAATTGGAAAGTAAGACAAAGAGGCAGTGATAAGGTGATTGTGCGAATGTATAAAGTCAATCTAACCAGTGAAGTATTTTTTCTTAGATTGTTGCTTTTGCATGTAAAAGGTGCAATGTCTTTTGAGGATTTGCGTTCTATTCATGGCACTGTTTTTAATACATTTCGTGAAGCATGTTATCGATTAGGTCTATTGAAGGATGAATTTGAATGGAGAAATACATTAACTGAAGCTGTAGCAACTCGAATGCCTAAACAAATTAGGCAACTGTTTTCCATTATATTGACTTTATGTGAACCTGATGATCCTTTACACCTTTGGAATACATTTAAAGATTATATGATTGAGGATTACATACACCATTCAATGCCAGTTGTACTTGCTGAACAGACTGCTCTTCGTCAAATTGAATCTATAATTAATCAGAGTGGTAAAACTTTAACTGATTATAATTTGCCTACATTAGATCAGTTATTAGATAATGTCCTAGAAAACGATGATGGAGATATTCAGTTATTTATTGATGAAGCAAATCGAGTTAGACCATTATTAAACGATAATCAGCGTAATGTAGCTGATCCAATCCTTGCTGCACTTAGTGAAGAACCTAATAATGAAAATAAGCATTTAAGATTTTTCTTTATGGATGATCCTGCCGGTTGTGGTAAAACATTTACTTACAATTATTTAATTGCTGAAACACGCAGCAGCAAACACTGTTGCCTATTAGAACTGCAACAGCTGCATGGACAGGAATAGCTGCAACTCTTCTTAAAAATGGATGCACATTGCACGGCTTATTCAAACTTCCTGTTCCAATTTTGGAAACTAGCACATGTAATGTAACTCCAAACTCCATTCATGGTAGATTCCTGAGACAAGTTAGTTTATATTTACTCGATGAAGCATCTATGATACCCAAACATGCTTTGAGTGCCATTGATAAGTTATTACAAAATATTTGTAATAATAAGTTTCCTTTTGGTGGTAAAGTTATTCTTATGGGTGGAGATTTTCGACAAATACTTCCAGTTGTGAAGAGAGGTCGACCAGCAGATGTTGTAGAATCATGTATAAAGTGTTCTGAACATTGGCAATATGTGCAAAGGTTTTCATTAACTGAAAATATGAGGGTTCAGATAGGAGAAGAGGAATTTTCTCAATGGCTTTTAAAGCTTGGAAGTGGAACATTACCTGTCAAGCCTGAAGATCCTTTGCAAGGGTGTATTGAAATACCTGAGCAGCGTTTTTTCAATGATAATGAATCTATTGTGGAAAAGATTTTTGGTGGTGCAGAAGAAGCTGATTATGCAAAACGTGCTATTTTAACACCAACAAATGTTGATTCACTGGCAATAAATGAAGAAGTCTTTCATCGATTACCGGGTGATGTTAAAATTTATTTAAGTTCAGATAGCATTGAAACTGATGATCATAATGAAATTTATAATTTTCCAGTTGAGTTTTTAAATACTTTGACTCCATCAGGTATGCCTGTTCATTGCCTAAAGTTGAAAATTGGTGCTTTTATAATGCTACTTAGAAATTTAGATCTCAAAGGTGGACTTTGTAATGGAACACGTTTGATGGTGCGTGCACTACACAACAATTACATTGATGGTGAGGTTCTAACAGGTGTATCAGCTAATAACAGGGTATTTGTTCCTCGAGTTCAATTAGCTCCATCAGATTCAAATTTACCTTTTACACTTAAATGTCGTCAATTTCCAGTTAGGTTAGCATACTCAATGACCATAAATAAAAGTCAAGGTCAAACATTTGATAAAGTTGGTGTTTATCTCAAAAAGCCTTGCTTTTCACACGGCCAATTATATGTTGCATGTTCAAGAACAAAATCTTTTAATAGTTTGTTTTTTAAAGTTGATAAACATGCATTACAAGGTATATCATTTAACAAATATTACACAAATAATGTTGTGCTTACAAATGTTCTTAATTTATAATTTTGACAAGTTTGTTTATGTTTTTTTTCTTTGCTATATATGTTTATATATGTGAATATATGTTTTTACTTATATATAGATGTTTGTGTTTGTTTATGTTTGTTTATATGTGTTTAAGTTTATATTATGTTGTTTCCATGTTTGAAAAATGGTGTTACTTGGCAACGTGTAGTGCAAGATTGTGATCCTTGCCAGCCAAGTGGTGTTACTAATTAGTGGTGTTACTTGGCACTTAATGCCAAGCGGTGTTACTAAATTGTGGTGTTACTTGTCAGCGTTTAGTGCCAAGCGGTGTTATTAGTGTTGAGCTAGGTTGTGTTGTCTAGCTTTTTTAATTATTTTGGAAACACATATTATCTGAATACATTGTGTAATGTGTACTTACAAATGTCATATGTTGTGTATTATTCAGCAGCGTAGGCAGGATTTTTTGATGCTTCAGGTTTTACTTTTATTTTCAGACTCTTTCATTACTTTCAGACTCTTTCATTACTTTCAGACTCTTTCATTACTTTCAGACTCTTTCATTACTTTCAGACTCTTTTATTACTTTTATTACTTTCAGACTCTTTAATTACTTTCAAACTCTTTCATTACTTTCAGACTCTTTTATTACTTTCATTACTTTCAGACTATTTCATTACTTTCAAACTCTTTCATTACTTTCAGACTCTTTCAACTAAACTTAATTGTATTCATGTTTGTCAAATTCAAATAATTTGTAAAATATGGATGTTGTTGGGGCTTGAAAACAAATATGTTTTAAAAAGGTTTGCTTTCCTCCCTTGAATTTAGCTGCCAATTAGTTAAAAAAGTATTTTTTTTAAGCATATAATAATAATCTTATTCATTAACAGGTTTTAAATTTCTTATAAAACAACAAAAGTCCTGCCTACACCACTGGTGTTTTTGTTTGTCATTGTGTAATGTTTCTGTTGTGATGTTTTGTGTTGATAGACAGCTTGGCTTACCTTCACGCTGGTGTCTATCGTTAAAAATGATTATTAGCTAGCTTCATTACTGAAACTACTCCTTCTAATCATTCACTAAAAGCCAAGAAATATTTTATTGAATAGAAGCCTAATTTTTTTATCTCACTGTGACTTTTTATCTTTAGCATTGTTGATTAAATAGCTTTTTAAATAAAGAGTGTTTCCAGCCTTCCAATCAAATACTAGAGACTTCCACAAAAGCGATCTCACAAAGTAAGTTTCTTATTTAGTGTTTGATAATTGACTAAGTTTCGTCACCTTTTATATTTTTTTTACATCTTATTATGTAATTTTTCAACATTTAGACAACTTTTAAATAACTTTAAACAACTTTTATATGTGTATTCAGTGTTTTATATAACAATATTTTTTTTCATTTTATAGGTAGATTTCCTGTTATAACTGGTTTAAAAATTGTTAATCGTTAATCATTTTTTAAAAGCGTTTACTTTTTCTAAGACGTATTACTAATCTTCATACCATTTACTAAAAGCTATCTTCTCTATATATTATTGCCGAACTTAATAGTGTTAGTAGCGCTCTTTCGAGCGTGTTTGACAAACCCATGGCAACTATTGCAACCAAAGTAATGGCGAGGAAGAGTCTCAGCACTTTTTGATAAGTAAACGTGAACAAAAGTGTATGCAAATATCTAACTTACGTAAACTTCAAAATATGAAATGTTAAAACATACAAAAACATGTCAAGTTTTACAGTTTTATTTTCACTTAAAAACAGCATTGCGGCAACGTCTCTTTAATTTTGATCGATTTACAAAGTCTTTTATTTATTATATATTTTTGAAATTTTCGTCAAAATGCCGTGGTTAGCTCGCTGAGCTTCTGATCAGAAAACATGTGGTTTGAATCCTACCATAGTCTATATAGTTTTATTTATTTTTGGTTTACTAAACTGCGACATAAAGTCTTGAAACACTTAGTTTATTTGTTTTTTTTTTTTTTTTTTTTTTTTATCCTTTTTTGATTTTTCTAAAATACAAAAAAAAATACTTTTAAAGATTTATCATCATCATCATCATCATCATCATCATCATCATCATCATCATCATCATCATCATCATCATCATCATCACTATATAATAATAAGGAACTTAATAGTAGTAGTGCCCTTTCGAGCACGTTTGACACAAAACCCAACGCAGCCATTGTAACCGAGGTACTGGCGAGGAAGAGTCGCAACACCTTTTTATAAGAAAACATTAACGAAAGTGTGTGCTAACTTACGTAAACTTATATTTATTATAATTTTAAATTTATTATTTGTCATGTTATTTTAAGTCGTATTAGCACAAAGAAATTGGGTATATAACATGTAAATATTTAGAACTATAAAGTTGTTTTGTTTTGCATTTTAAATAACAATAATTTTATTAAAAAAATCAAGCTGATGATTTGAACTTGCCACGCGGCGACCTTGAATTTTTTTAAAACAGTGAGGGGGTTTTAAAAAAAAACATTTTTATTTAAAAAAACTTTAAAAATCTTAAATTTATTTTTAAAATAAATTATTTTATTGAACTTATTATTTTTCAAAATAATAAATCGTTAAAACTATTTAATTTAAAATAATAAAAATATTTACAATTTTACAGTTACTTATTTACGCCCCCGTTAAATATTCTAAACCGAGTGCGCAACTATGACAGAATTCAGAAAACCAATAAAATTGTAAGATACTCTGTTTAATATTGGAAGAGTCTACTCGGATGCTATAAACTAATGGACTCTGTTATGTTTCTTTGTGTAATGTTTTTCTAGCGGTTAACAAATAAAAGCAAAGCGGAGATACATCAACTGAGGGATTAGGTTTGGGCAGGCATTCTTTTAAATTAAAGAAAAGAGTTTTGATACTTATTTAAATAGGGTTAATAAAATATTTTAAATTATATATATTATATTTAAAAAATTATAAAACTAAATTACATATGATTTTTAGATGAAACAGTAAAAATAATTGTTTAAAATACATGCGTGCAAATAATTCCTACTAATACTAAACGTAAAAAAACGCTTACAAACACCAAAAGTATTTTTACCGTGAATAAAATTAAGTTCAAAGTAAAATTGGAAGAAATGTTTAAAACTGTTTCAATAATAACATTTATTTTTAATTATTTTTGTTGTAAGTTGGGATGAAAAAAAAGGTCACTGGAATATGAACTCCCGGTGTGAGATGACTATATCTGTCTAAGTGTTGCGCGGCTACCAATTAGCCCATAAACGTATTCTCTATTTAGAATATGAGATAATTTATGAGGCATAAGAAGTGTAATTAAAAATTCAAAACCAAGTTTGGAACAACTGAATTTAAAAAAAATCTAATTAGATGTGTATATGTTATGATCGTTAACTAAGGCGTACTTTAACGGCATCACGTGCTGAATGTTTTAGCATTTTTCAAAGTTCGTAGTCTTTTTTACGTTTTTTCTTATTAAAATCTTTATAATCAGCATAATATTAAAAGCGTTTAAAGTTTTTTAAAGAACATTATAACGTTATATAATGAAATTTTTTTGTCATATCAAAAAGTAAGTATAGTTTTTTATATGTACATAGTTTTTAAAACGGTTTTAAATATATATATATATATATATAAAATATATATATATATATATATATATATATATATATATATATATATATATATATATATATATATATATATATATATATATATATATATATATATATATATATATATATATATATATATATATATGTATATATATATATATATATATATATATATATATATATATATATATATATATATATATATATATATATATATATATATATATATATATATATATATATGTATATATATATATATATATATAAACATATAATAACAAGCGTTTTCTATCATAGGAAAACGCATTTTTTTTTTGTTTAAAGGCGTTGTAATTACCATTACTTGTTATTATTTAAGTTATTTCTTGCCTATAATTAACTTCTCTTCAAGGGTAATAAAATCTATAATTTTATATTTTATTCTTGTTTTTTTCATTTTAGTTAAAGAAATAGCTTTGGTTTTTCAATACCGTTTGGTTGTCATTATAAATACTCAAATAACGCTATTGTATAACTTCTTAAACAATGTCCTCATATAGAATTTTTGTTATGTTATGAAAACAAAAAAGCACGTTTACGCACAAAACTCTTGTAAAGATAACTTTTAATTTATTATATTGTCGCCAATAAGTTGTATAAACACTCTACAGGGTCAGGAGACTACAAGAAAATGATAAAATTAGATTTTAATTCTCAATTCCTTATTACTTTTTTTTTTTTTTTTTTTTTTTTTTTTTTTTTTTTTTTTTTTTGTATTGTATTTGCCGATTGAAAATAATTTACACTCGTAATTTATAAAAACAAATATTTACATGACTGGGGCTTGAAGAAGACAAAATTCATCTTATCATTAAGCCCCCCCCCCAAAAAATGCATATTCATCAAATAAAATATTTTAACAAAATGTAAAAAATAAAATATATAACGTTTAAAATATTAAGTAATTCAAAGAGTATTTATATTTAAGAACTGATTAGTAAAATAAGATGATATATAAGTATTAATATTACAAAAAGAATTTACAATAACTTTTTTTAATAAAAATTGAAATTATAAAATTTTACAATATTTTTAGTAATAAGTATTTCAAATAATAAAACTTAAAAAATCGTTTGTAAATTCAAAAGTTATAAGATAAGAAATGCATTTACAATAGCAGACTATTGTTTTAGAATACTAAATAAAATATTAAAGAGTAATTAGTAGGTTAATTTTTGTTTTTGTTTGCTAGTTTAAAAAGCTTTTTAGAAGAACTTTAATTCATTTTCATGTATCATCAGTAATTGCTTAAGTTTTGTTTTAAACTGGTTTAAAGAATAATTAGATTTCAGCTCATTATTTAATATTGTATTCCACAGCTTAGGACCTCGATTTGCAATTGAGATTTTGGTTGCTGAATAATGTGTTTTGGATT